GGGCATGGGGAGATGGTGACGGTGAGGTCCACAGAGCCTTCCAGAACGTGTAGGCCACCACATGAGTGACAGCCTCACATGGTGCCCACCTCGCGGAAGGGGTGACCGCTAAGCTGTGTGCTGGGATGGGGCTGGGTGCAGGGAGGAGGGAACAGTACTCTGGAGGGTGGAACAGTGTGTGCAAGAGCCCTGAGGCAAGCGGGGGACGGCGGGCTGAGGGAGCACAGGTCTGAGGGGTGTGGGAATGTGGGGGGCATGGGGAAGGTGAGGGCGCTCCGCGAGGTCACCCAGGCCAGGTCACAGGAGCTCCTGGGTCTCGTGCAGGATGTGGATTGCATCTTTGTGATGGCAGCTGGTGGAAGGGTGTGATTGGGGTGACATTTTGGCAAGACCCCTGGGCTGTGAGGCTGTTGGGGTCACTCACCCTCACCAAGGCCAGGCTGGCGGGGAGTGGGAGATGAGGCCACATGGGAGGCCAGCCTCCGAGCAGCGGGGCAGCCGGTCAGCCTGGAGGGCCGGGGTCGGAGAGACCTGGGGCTAGCAGAGCCTGGAGGCGGGGTTGTGGAAACTGCTCTGGTGGTGGGTGTCCGGAACACTCCACGAATCAGCTGTGTCCTAGAGAGCAGCTCCCAAGCCTCAGATCCTTTCCAGAAAAAGTCAAAAAACGTACACAAGCTGGAACTGAAAAGACCTCTCTGTTGGAACAGCGGGACCGGTGTGTGGGGTGGGGGGGTGCGAGTGTGTGTGTTTGGGGCTAGACCAGAGACTGGGGGGGAAACGGTTTTCGTCCTGCCGCTCCCAAATCTTTCCATCCCTCCCTCCTTCTATCTCCCCCTACCCCCTCCACCCCGGTCATACAAATCATTGACATCGGAGGTCAAGGCCAGAGTGTCCGCTGTGAGCTCTGGGCCTCAGACTCTGCCCTCACGGAGCCCTTTCCTGTGACCCCCACCTTCCCTGCCCTGGGAGCCCGGGGACTATCAGCCGCCCCCACGGATAGGCTTGCTGCTCTTACCATCCGAATGCCCACCTGCGTCTGGGGGTGAGGTGCTGTCCGGCCCTGCCTTTCCAGGGTCCACCATCACCCACAGACACAGGGAGACCAGCTCCGGGCCTGAGAGGTCACTAGCGCCTTCACCAAGGGGGTGTTCCTGTTGGCATCCAGGGTGGGACCTCAGATGACAGCCCACGGCTCCTCTGGGCCTTCCTCTGCCCTGGGAGGGGTCTAGTGTCTGCGTCTTGGGGTGGGTCTGGGGGAGAGGACGGGTGTGTTGGGCAGGAGGACAGGCACGTGGGCATGGGGTCCACCTGACAGCACGCGCACGCTGGTCACTGTGCATGCCTGGCCTTGGAGGACCCAGGACAGTCACGGCTATGTCAGAGGCAAACTCAGAAAGCTCTGGGTGACATGTCCTCGCAGACTCGAGATCAAGCCCACACCATGGATGTCACTGAAAGAGTCTAATGAGATCCACTTGTGGAAGTCCAAAATGGCTCTTTAACAGAGGGTTCTGAGTCTGGCCTACAGTTTCCTGAGTTAAGAGGCAGACCGGCAAAAGCAGGACCATTGAGCCTCTCAGGTGGAATTTCCCCGCCAGCATTTCTCTACTGTTTGGGCCATTTACTTCCCAGGGTGTGTTCATGCAGTAAGAGGACTTGGGTGCCACCAAGCGGCCGTCCTAGGGACGTCAACGCCCTGCGCTGTGTGGGACCCACCAGTAACTTCTCCTTAGGTAGCAACACTCTGCATTTGAGTTACATCGTTAGGATTCAAAGTGAGAAAACCCACAAGAACTGCTTGTTCGCTTATGGCCACTGAGGCCTGGGAAGAGGCAGCCCCTAGCTCAGGCTGTTCAGAAGCTGTAGAGCTTAAGGCACGAAGCTGACTTCCCATTTTTTAGAGATAGGCACGAGCCACGGAAAGTACCACAACAGGCCTGTCTCCGGGAGTGTGGGTCGTGGGGACTGGTGTCCTGGAGTGGAGTAGGGTTCTGCCATCAGGGCTCCCCACCCAACCGCAGGCCAGGCAGTTCAGCTGCGGGATTTCTACAGAGCAGTTTTAATAACTAGGTGGGAAGTGGACAGAAGCACCATCTCTAGGGTGCAGTGGCAGCTCCCGAGGAGGGCTGAGCTGTGATTTGGAGAAATGAGGCTCCTTCCTATGAGGGACCCATGGAGAGCGAGGCAAGGAGAGGCCACTGTTTGCTGGGAGCCTTTTCTGGGCTTGTACACAAATTCGGAAGGATTTAGCATGGTTTTAGGGACACCCCACTCCAGGTAACTGGATGTCAGTTGGGTGTATTTGTGTGGGTCTATTTCTGGGTTCTTTACTCTGTTCCACTGATCCGTGTGTCTATGTCCATACAAATACCACAGTCTTGATTCTTTTGGCCAAATAATAAGATTTAAAATTTGGTAGACCAGTTCCTCCCATTTTATTATTTTTTTTCAAAATTATGTTAGCTATTCTAGTACCTTTGTCTTTCCAAATAATCTTAGAATAATCTTATCTATGTCTACAAAAAACCCTGCTGGGATTTTGGTAGGAATTGCCTTAAAGCTGTATACCAACTTGAGGAGAATTGACATCTTTTACTCTGCTGAGTGTCAGTTGATGAACACAGTAAGTCTATTTACTTAGATGTTCCTTGATTTCTTTTATCAGTATTGCATTGTCTTCAGCATACAGATCCTGTGTATGTTTCATTAGATTTACATCAAAGTATTCCACTTTTTTGGGAGTGATTAAAACTGGTATTCTATTTTTAATTTCAGTGTCCATATGTCCATTGCTAGTATGTAGAACTGTAATTGATTTTTGTATGTTTATCTTATATCCTGCCACCTTGATGAACTCATTAATTCGAGGCGGTTTTTCTTTGTTTTTGTAGATTCCTTAAGATTTTCTACCTAGATAATTGTGTCATCTGCAAATGAGATACTTTTATTTCTTCCTTTCAGATTTGTATTCCTTTTATTACCTTTTTTTGCCTTATTGCCCTGGCTGGAACTTTCCGCACTCTGATGAATAAGAGGATTGGGAGCAGGCATCCTTGCCATGTTCCTGATTATTCACCATCCATTCATCATTCCCCATTAAGTACAGTGTTAATTATTTTTTAAAAAGATTTATTTATTTATTTGAGAGAGAGCGAGTGTGTGTGTGTATGAGTGGGAGGGGCAGAGGGAGAGGGAGAGAGAATCTCAAGCAGACTTCCCATTGAGCGCAGAGCCAGACACTCGGGGCTCGACCCCACAACCCTGAGATCACAACCTGAGCTGAAACCAAGAGTTGGATGCTCAACTGAATGTGCCACCCAGGAGCCCCTAAGTACAGTGTTAAGTTTTTTGTAGATGCCTTTATCAAGTTGAGGAAGCTCCCTCTATTCCTATTTTTCTGAAAATTTGTTTATCACAAATAGCTGCTGAATTTTGTCAGTGTTTTTTCTACATTGATTGATATGATCATACGATTTTTCTTTGCTATCCTAACAATATGGTGGGTTACACTGATTGGCTTTCAAGTGCTGAATGAGCCCTGCATCGCTGGTATAAACTCCACTTTGTTATGGCGTATAATTATTTTTATATATTGCTGAATTCTATTTGTTAATATTTTGTTAAGGATTGTTGCATCTGTAATGATGAGAAACATTAGCCTGTAATCCCCCCTTCCTTTTTTTTTTTTTTTTAACTCTTTGTGTGGTTTTGGTATCAGAGTAATATTAGCTTCATAAACAAATTGGGAAATGTTCTTTCTTCTTTTATTTTCTGCAGGAGGTTGTGTGGCATTCATACTAATCCTTTAAAGATTTGGTGTAATTCTCCTGTGAAATCATCTGGGCCTGAAAATGTCTTTTTGTGGCGTTTTAAAATTGGGAATTTAATTTTCTTAATAAGTGTAGGGCTATTCAGATTATCTAGTTCATACTGGATGAGTTGTGGTAGCTTGTATTTTTCGAGGAATTGGTCCATTTCATCTAAATTGTCAAATTTGTGTATATAGAGGTGTTCATAATATTCCCTTATTATCCTTTGATGTCTGTGGGGCTGTGGTGATAACTCTTCTTTCATTCCTGAGTTAATAATTTGTGTCTTCTCTCTTTTTTGCCTTGTCAGTCATGCTAGATGTTTCCTTTCCAATGTTTATGTCTTTTCTTTCTTATTATTGTCTTACTGCACTAAGACATTCAGCCATGATGTTGAACAGGAATACTGACAGCGGACAACCATGCTTTGCTGTCAATCTTAGGGGGAGAGCAAGCAGTTTCTTACTATTAAGAATGATGTTAGCTGGTTACATTTGTTTGTTTGCTTGTTTTGTTTTGTTTTTGTTTTTTTAAATTATCAGTTTAAGGATGTTCCCTTCCAGGCCTAGGTAGGATTGCATTTTATTTTCGGCTTCCTTCTCGCTGAGTGACAACTTCTGACCAATGGGTGGAGAAGAGGTGGATGGCTTGAAGTCCTCTGCATGTCTATGTTTTCCCTCTAGTGTGGTGACCAGCAAACTCCTGGGAGTGGCTGTTTGATCACCTGGATTCCCGAGTGGCCATGAGGTGCAATATCTCTACTAATCTGTAAAGGAAATTGCAATAAACAAGAAATAAATCTGATGTTTTAAGCCACTGAGATTTTAAGGTTGTTTGTTAATGCAGCATAAACCAGCTTATGTTGAATGACACTCTTGATATGTGAAAAGTTTGCCTCATGAAAGGGACAAGATACTTTTGAAATATATTTAAAAAAAATTGCCTGGGTGGCTCATTCGGTTAAAGCGTCTGCCTTTGGCTTAGGTCATGATCTCAGAGTCCCGGGATCGAGCTCCACATCGGGCTCCCTGCTCGGCGGGGAGTCTGCTTCTCCCTCTGCCCCTCCCCCTGCTTGTGTTCCCTCTCTCGCTCTCTCAAATAAATAAATAACACATTTTTAAAAAAACTTAAAAACAGAAATGTCATACAACCCAGCAATTCCACTTCTAGGTATTTACTTGAAGAAAATGAGAACACTGATTTGAAAAGATATCTTCCCCCCCATGTTCACTGCAGCATCAATTTAACAACCAAGACACAGCAGCTGCCTGCATCCTTCCGTAGAATGGATAAAGATGTGATGTACATACACCCAGTGGAATACTACTCATCCACAACGAAGAGTGAAATCTCGACATTCACGACGACACGGATGGGGCTAGAGGATATTGTGAAAGACAGACGAAGACAAACATCATTTGATTTCACTTACATGTGGAATCTAAGAAACAAAACAAATGAAAAAATTAGCCACAAAGAAAAACATAGACTCATAAACACAGAGGACAAACTGGTGGTTGCCAGTGAGGGGGACAAACCAGGTGAAGGGGATGAGGGGTACAGACTTCCAGTTATTAAATAAATAAGTCACGAGGCACACAGAAAATACAGTCAATAATAGTGGTAATAACTTTGTACCATGGCAGATGGTGACCACACTTACGGGGGTGACATTTTGTAGGGTACGCAGTTGTCGAATCACTAGGCTGGACCCTTGAAACTAATATGACATTATGTGTCATCTACACCTCAGTTAAAAATTTTCTAAAAATGTTTAAAGTTTCCCTTTTAGCCCAAACTGTAATTAATATTTTTCTAGAAATGTATCTATTCCATCTATATATTTAAAACAGTAATATTACACACAAACTTACATATCTATAACATTTATATATAATTTTACATAAATAAAAATATGTGTATATATTGTTATATGTAAATTGTTATTTAAGAAGGCCTTCTTCTGTGGCTCCATACCCTACATTAGTAACACTAAAAGTCTGTGGAGAACAGGTCTCCTCTGACCGCTGTTCTCAGACCCCCTGACAGGGGAAACCTCTATTTGGTCCTAACCCAGAACAGGTTGGTGCATTTTTAGGCATGTGAAACTCGATGCCCAGGCTACCTGGAGGCAATTACCCTCATGTTTCTGAAAGACAGCCTTGCACGTTCAGAAGAGCACAGACTTTGACTGGCGAGTAACTTATTTACGGTTTTCTATCGGTATTTATTAGATTAAGTGCCCAGCCATTTTTCACTTGTCCTTTGTGAAGTTTGCGTGGCATGCAGCGTTAATGGGCACACCGCCCCTGCGGCCCTTTTATCTCATCCGTCAGGTTTAAAAGAGACCCCCATCATGAGTGCTGATCCCCAGATGTCACCTGCTTTGGTGCCAAAGCCCGAACCCTGACTGCGCCTCACCCCTCGAGCCACGCAGCCTGCACGCATCGACCAAGAAAGACCCAGACGGACTGCTGGCTGGTTGAGTTCTTTATTGCTGGAGGAGAAGTGGCTCAGAGCAGAGCACCTCAGGCTGGCGCCCCGAGGACCCCGTCCCCTGGAGGAGCGGGTCCCACAGGACCTGGGGCTCGGTCCCTCCTGATTCCTCTGATGGGGGAGGGAGGGGGCGATGTCGTCTCTGGGACCTGAAAGAGACGAGGGCTCCCCTGTGATTCCTGGGGAGCCTGTTGGGCCCTCGCCAGCCCCTCCCAGGTGGGGGGTGAGGGACAACCTCTCCACCTCGGGCTGAGTGGTGGTCAGCCCACGCCAGCCCCCCACGCTTGCCCACATCCTTGCCCAGAAGAGGCCATGGGGACATCTGCATGGGAGCTTGACCGGGACACAAGGAGGACATCCCAGAAAGGCCACTGGAGAGAGTGGGCCTGTGGCCAGCCTGGCCCCCGTGGTCACCAGGAGGGACACCAGGTCCCAGCCATTCCTGCAGAGGGACCAGGGCCCGACGGAGGGGAGCTGGGGTCCCCTGGGACACCTCCCACCGTGCACGTGCCCAGGACGTGGGGGCAGGGCTGGTATGCGTTACCCCAGGAGGCGGGTCAGACAGGAGCGCACCTAGATGCGGCACTGCTGTGTGGGGGGAGGGAGAGCCGTGGGGGGGGGTCACAAGTCGCCAGCCCTGGGGGACAGCCCTGGGCCCAGAGGGGTGTGGCAGAGGGGGTGGGGCTGGAGACCCTGCCTCAGGGGCTCTGCACCTCCCACCCCCCAAGCTGGGGGGCCTGGGGAATGGGGGCTACCGTGGGAGATGGCTGGGCCCGGCGCTCGTGGCTGTCTGGTGGGTGAGCCCCACGCGGAGTGCAAGTGGGGACGTGGGGAGTGGCGGTGATCACCTTCCACCTGCGTCGGGTTGAAGAAGAGCCAGATGTGCACGGGCAGAGTCTCGAGGGCTCTGTTGAATTTCTCCATGACCTGGTTGTCGACCTTCAGGGTCCTGGCTGTGGGGGGCGGTGGGTCAGTCCCTGGGCCGCAGGGCTTTGACGACCTCGGGGAGATCCAGGGGCCCCGCCCGGGGAGCGAGTGCAGGAAGGACACACCAGCGTCCTGAGGTCAGCTCCCAGGGTGGCCTTCGGGGCTCAGCCCCCCTGCCTGCAGGGTCCCTGTCCCCTCCCCTTCCTCCCGGGACAGCGCTGGGAGGAGAGGGCTCCACTCGTAGACGACCCCCTCCCCCTTCTGCCTCAGCCCCCACTCGGCCTGTTCCTCGTCCCCGAGTCCCCACAGCGGCTCACAACTGATCACCTTTGCTAACGTGAGCCACGGGGGCTGGGAGGCAGCCCCTCCCCCTCCCGTCCCCAGGGCCCGGGGTGAGCGCCCCTGCAGGACTCCGCTACGCACCCAGGGACTGGCACATCATGCTGCTCTCAGCGGTGGGCGCGGGGGCCTCCATGCAGAAGAACAGGTAGTGGGCGTAGTCTGTGTCCAGCACGGAAATCTTTCTTTCCCCTTGGTCTGGAAAAGAGGCCGGAGCAGAGGCCTGAAATCTGTCTGGGTGCCCCTCGAATCTCCCTCGCGTCTCAGGCCACTTCCCTGACCCCAAGGGCACGCCCCCCCCTCAGGCCTTTCCTCCCCCCACAGACTCGGGAGAGGGCAGGTGGGCCCTGTGGCAGGGGAGGGCTGGAAGCTGTGGGGAGGCCCCAGGGCCCTGACCCAGAGGAGGCCGAGGGCAGGGCGGGAGGCCGCTAGGCCCGGGGGACAGGGCCGGTGGGGTATAGAAAGGCTGGAGGCGAGGCGGGTGAGGCCCAGAATGTTCCAGAAGCAGGTTCCAGGACCGAGAGGCAAATGCACAGTGTGTTTATGCACAGGTCTGGCTTCTGTGGACATGTGTACAGAGCCACAGGCCGCTGGGCCCCGAGCAGGGAAGTTTCTGCACGCCTGCCCTCAGACGCATCCCTGCACCGACCCCCATCTGCACGGCCACACAGATGTCGCAGCGAGACAGATGCTGTTCTGCTGTCTTCCCTTGCCAAGCAGGGGGCGCAGGGGCCGGGGGGCTGAGCCCGCCCCAGAGGGAGTGGGGTCCCCGGGCCTCATCACCCCGCCGAGTGCCCTTTGTGGTGTAGACGCGGGAGAAGCAGGGCCTGACTCTTCCCTGCTGCCGGGATGCGGAGGGGGCACTGCTTGTCCGGGGCCGCCTGGGGGTGCTGACCGGGGTGGGGGTGGGCGGCCCCGCAGGCACGGGGCGGGGGCACTTACAGTCGACCGTGAACACGGCTGGGTCCTCAGTCTTCTGGGCCATGATGTTCCCCTCAACGCATGCACTGTTTTCCCTGAAAAGCCAAAGAGTGCTGGGGTCCTCCATGAACCCCACTGTAGGGACAGGAGCCGGCTCCAGGAAGTGTCACACGCCCTGCAGACACCCAGCCCCGTCTGGCCCTGGGCCAGCTGAGAGCAATGTCATGAGGGGTTGGCCCGAATGTGAGTGGCCCTGTGGCCCTGAACAGGCGATTCAGGTGAGTTGACAATGGCGCAGACAAAGCCAGCCGGGACACCTGCCTGGTGGTGGAGGGCATGTGCCAGCTCAAAACTGACCCTCTCTGGGAGGGGCTGGGTTACAGCACTTCCAAGGACCTCATCATGGGTCACACTCAGAGTTCCTTGAGCCCCCAGCCCCCACTCCAGGGGCAGACAGGGCTCGCGGCAGGACCTGCCCAGGCCCCCGGGGCCCGAGCCCCACAGCTGACCAGCCGGCCTCCACACGGGCCTCTCTGCGCACTGACCCGGGGCCGCCCTGTGTGGTCGGCCTGTTGGCCCAGAGCCCAGGGCGGGGGCTCCGAGGGCACCGGGAACCACCCACAGGGCGCCGGCTCCCATCAGGACGCTGCCCTGCCCGCCCACCTGCCCGTCCAGAAGCCAGGCCCTCGCTGGCCCCCAACCCCAGGGTGGGGGGCACACCCACCATTTGCGCAGAATGATCTCCAGGTTGTCCTCGGGGGTGGGTCTCAGCTCCTGGACGTACACCCTCAGGGGGGCGGTCTCGGCGTCCAGGAGGGAGATGTCGCTGGCCGCCATGGCCATGGAGTGCCACGTCCCAGCCACCTGCGGAGGGGGCCTTGAGCTGCCGTCGGGGGCGGGAAGGGCCCCGGCCCACGGGGGGCTCGCCCTCCCACCCCGGCCTGCTGGCTGGTCTCCTGCACACGTTTCTCAGGCAGCGCGGCGAGTGAGTCAGGACTCAGCACGTGTGAGGATCACCGACCACGTGATGCCCGTGTGCGGTTCTTGCATGTTTGGAACAACCATGCTCTCTACCCCAGCACTGTCCTGAGGAAGCTCCCACTCAGGGGTGCGTCCGCATCATAGGTGACCACCCCGGGAGCGAGAGGGAGACACGGAGGTGGCTGGAGCCAGCACTCGGGGGACGAAGATGTGCCCTAGCTCTGTGCCTCACTGATGTGTGCAGTCGGCCCTCCTGTCCTCCATCAGCTGCCCCTGGCCCCGGCCCCCCAGCACCCGCCCCACATGCCCATACCTTTCTTATATCCAGGGCCCTCGTGGTCTGGGGGACGACGATGGCCTGGATGCCACACACGAGGGCCAGGCCCAGGGCGAGCGGGAGGCACTTCATGGCTGCGGCTGTGGTTGCGCTGAGCTCCCGGGAGTGAGGAAGGCCGGGCAGCGGGCTCGGGCCCTTATGTGGGGGCGGGGGCCCCCGCGAGCCAGCACCGTCCGGGCCCCCGGCCACGCGGTTCTCGGAATCCCCTGTGGCTCAGCCCCAGGGTCACAAGGACATTATCTTCCAGGACAGCGCGAGGCCCTCTTTCTGGGACAGTGTCACTGACTTCCCCCTGAGTCCAAACAAGAAGGTCCCTGTGTCCCCGGGGCCTGGACAGTTCCTGGCAGGCCCCAAGGGGAGGGTCTGGAGTGTGGGCCCAGGCTGGCCGCCAGCATCAGAAACACTTCCTGGGTCGCGATCTTGAGCAACAACAGGTCAGAGTCAGCACTGAGGACAGCTGTGTCCCCGAGGGTGGGAGAGCCCCATGCAAGCCCAGGGTCTGTGGACGACGTGCCGGTGGGTGGCCATCTGTCCTGCACAAGGGGCACACTTTTTCACACTCCCGGTCCCTCCAAGGGGCACCCAGTAACACAGCTGTCCTGAGCGTGCACGCCCTGGGGCTGGATGTGGCTATGTGGTCTGTTGTGCTCCATGGGGACCCCCTCCTTGCCCCTGCATGGCCATCTGGGCCCACGGGTCATCATCTGGGGGCAAAGGCTGGGCTCTCAGATGTTTGGGCAGATGAGCAGCATGCAGTGTCCAGAGGACTCTGGCAGGACCCCCCACAGCCCTTGCCCTCCTTCCCTAGGCCACCGTCAGCGGGTTCTAGGTGCCCCAAAGCACGGGCAGCCTGCTTCCTTCACCCCCTTGCAGGTCTGGGGGTGGGGGTGGGGGCTGCAGCAGTAGCGGGAATGCAGGTGGGCAGACAGCAGGCCTCCGGGCCCAGGTGGACGAGCGTGTGGCTGGCAAGCTGACCAGCTTCAGAGATGGAGGCGGATGTGGGGGCGCAGTGGGTGGGGAGGGGGACCAGGGGACCTGGGACCCAGCAGCGGGCCTGTCAATCAGGAGCCCAAACTGGAAAGAACACAGCCTTTATTTTGGGGTCTCAGATGGCAGCTTGGGGAGCACAGGGTCTGGAGTGACCAGAAGAGTGTCCGGCTCATACAGGGAGAGCAAGGGGTTTTGATGAGAGAGAGGGAAGGAGTAATTACATGAATAGAGGAAGAAAAGAAGAGAAAAACCTGGCTAGTCTGGGGCTGACCAGCGAGGCGCTTCTGATTAGTATCTTCCTGATTATTTTTTCGGTGCTCACAAACCGCATTGACCAACTTACTGTCCTCACATGACCCGCCTGCAGGTCTCTCTAGCGACATTTTATGAGCACCTGGTTATAAAGCCGGTTCCGCTGCCGGCCCAGCTCGGGAGCTCGTTAGCCAGAGAAGACAATGACGGCCCTCACGTCCAAAGTGTTAGACAATCCCACAGGCCCGGGTGCTGGGGATGCCGGGGCCCCCGAAGAAGGGATGGAGGGCTTGGAGGAGCTGAGGTGTGACGGTCCCTGCGGAGGATAGTGACCGGGGCCTGGGTGGATGTAGGCATTTGCAGACCTTATGTCTTGATCTGAGAATTCCATGAATTTCTTTTTTTTTTTTTTTTTTTTAAGATTTTATTTGTTTGTTTGTCAGAGAGAGAGAGAGCACAAGCAGGGGGAGCGGCAGGGAGAGGGAGAAGCAGGCTCCCCGTTGAGCAGGGAGCCCGACACGGGACTCGATCCCAGGATCCTGAGATCATGACCTGAACTGAAGGCAGATGCTTCACTGACTGAGCCACCCAGGCGCCCCGAATTCCATGAATTTCTAGAAGTCCCAAAATCTTGACAAGAATGGGATTTTATATTACCCCAGATGCGTTGCCCTTGCAAAGTGAAAACCCAAGAAAGGAGTGATTCCTCACATGCTCTTTCAACACATGAGCCTGACAGAGGGAACGGCGTCTCTGAGGGACGAGGCCGAGACAGAATCCCCACCCTTGGCAACTGGTCAGGTGCACACTGACCGGCCTCACAGAGCAGGCAGGACGATGCCCACTCTGCCTGCAAGGGGAGCTTGCCTGGCACTTCCGGGTCCCCTCTGCAGCAGACCACACATTGCCAGGGCCCCCTCTGTGGCAGACCTCACACCTCTGGGGCCCCCCTCTGCAGCGGACCCCATACAGGTGCAGGGGAGGGGCTCTGGCTAGTGTCCACCTGGGGCTCCGAGCTGGTGTGATGGGTGCAAGGCAGCTGATGTGGTCCGGCTGTGGAAACTGGCCCCTGGGCGGCTGAAACTTGTACCCATGGCCGTCCCCAGGCTCACACCTCTGCGGGGTGGGCAGGACGAGCGGGGCTCCTCAAGCCCAGCACAGACAGTAGGCTCAGCCTGCAGTCAGGAGGCCAGCTCCCTGCTGCTCCCCACTTGCCCGGCTTCCCATTTGTCCCCGGCTCTGGGCCGGCCTGGAGTGGGGCCCGTTTCCCTCCTGCCCGCCTCTCACGATGGCCACAGGACCTCGCCGGGCGGTGGTGCCGGGCCATCGTCAACAAAGTGCCCTGTGCGTCCATCTTGGAGTCTGTTCCAACAGCTTCCCCTTAAGGGAGACCGTTGTCACAATGGGGGGTGAAACGCACATTTACAACAACAGAGACCCGCCCCCTCATGTCCACCCACACTCACCCTTGCTGGCTCATTCTTCCCTGCACTGCATGGCCCAGGGTTTGGGTGACGATGATACCCCGCCCACCCACCCTCCCCGCCGTGCAGTCTGGTTTCCACCCAGCCTCACACCCTGCAGACACAAAGATGGTTTCCAGCGGTGGGCTCTCCACCAGTGCGGCCTGTTGACCAGTCCTGGCTCCTTTGGGAACACCTGTTCCAACTTTGGGGTTCCTCACCCCTTGGGCTGTTTTCCTTCTCCAGCCCCCCATCTCTCCCCACGCCCAGAGTGCTCGTCCTTCGTGCTCTGCTACTGGGGTCTCATCCGCTCCCAAGGGTCTGGGCTGCCCTCTCTAGACCTCTAGCTTTCATTTCGGTTGTGAGTCTCCCGAATTCCAGGTCAGCTCCCTAGCTCCCAGGACACCTCCCAGCTCCTACCCAAAACACCTCCGAACCGGCTCTTTTCCCAGAGACCCGACTCTTCCTGCATCTCCGTGAGGGGCCCTGGGAGTCATCCTTGAATTTTCCATCCTCCCCCACTTGACATTTGCGTTTCACCTGTAAATTGTCCACGTCCTCTGTTCTGTTCTCACTGCCAGTTCTCTGTCACTCAACTTCGTGTTTCTTTAGCAAATGTGCCATTGGGCATGCCCCTTACGTGGCCTCCGCACCCTCAGCCTCACCTAGTTCCAGGCACTGGAGAGGGAAAAGTCCTACGTGCCAGTGGGATTGTGTCGTGATACTGAAACACAAACAAAGAAATGCAGATACCCTCCTTGCTGGGAAGTGTTCTAACCAGAACGTGCATCAATATCATAAAAAGGTGTGCACCTGGCTTCCTTCAAGACCCAAAGGCAGAGCCTCTGGGTTTGGGGATTGAGAAGATCTGTTTACTGGCTGCTTCTCCCCACCTCTGATTCTGATTCAAGCCGGGTTAAAGCTTCCCCAACAGGGCTCACAGTCTGCGGGGTTGTCCAGGGATCTCCTGCTCTCCCAAGATTTATACTTGCTGATTCACTAACCCCCTGTCTAGGGCCTAAGCTCCTGCATTCCCCGCCTTACCTTTGAATTTTGCCCCAAGTGCATATCTGCAGTTCAGGAACCCGCCCTGATACCCCCATCCCCATGCCTCTGAGCACAGCAGAGCGGCAACCTTCTGCAGCATGCCAGTGGGCAAACCCATCCTCCCTGTTCAAGACAAGGTTTAGGGACCCTTTTCTGAGAGGGCCTTTCCTGAAGGCTCCAAGTATTTGGGGCCCATACTGTCAGGGCCTCGTTTCCCTGTGGCACCCTCGACACCTTGCACATATCCACATAGGCGGGTGAAGATTTACACCATGCTGAATACGAGCCTTGGCAGATGCCTTGTGATCCTTCCGAAACATAGACCACGGGAGGCCTGGGAGAAGCTGCTATGAGAGCATTTCCCACTTACCACCACATCTTCCTAGGAGGCTGCGACGAGAGAGTGTCATCTCCTCCCAGGTTCTGATGCAGTATGAGGCTGCCTCTCTGAGCAAAGCTACTCAGCTTTGCCTAGAAGGGGCTTCTCAGTAACAGGACTTCCCACCACTATTGTTGCATTGCTATATCCAGATCCTTCTGGATCTGGTGTCATCCTGTAAAACAAGAGACATGGGTGTTGGCACGCTTGCTCATCTTGCTTTTGCTATCGATGTAAGTAATACAGTTTCTGAATCTAGGAAGGGCTCATTGTTTCCTTACCAGCTGAATCTGTCAGCCTTGCTTGACACATATATCTGTCATCTCACCAATAACACCATTTGATCTATATTTGTGTAGCAGAAAGAATTGTTTTGCATTTTGAAAGTTACCTGTATTCTGTGTAGTAAATCTCTGTAGCATTCATCCCAGAGTTAACTGTTCAAGGGACTCTACTGAGGCAGTGTTGAGATAGCAAAGATTGTAAAAACAGGGCACACAAAGGAAAAGGAATGAGGGATAGTGGATGGATAGATGGTAGATGGATGATGGATGGTGGATGGATGGATGGATTGATTGGATGGATGGATGGATGATGGATGGTGGATGGATGGATGGATGGATGGATGGTAGATGGATGGTGGATGGATGGATGGATGATGGATGGTGGATGGATGGATGGGTGGATGGTAGGTGGTTGGATGGATGGTTGGCTAGATGGATGGATAGACGGTAGATGGATGGTTGGAGGGATGGATGGATGGTAGATGGATGTTTGGATGGTTGGATGGATGGATGAATGGCTTCCTTAACTCGTATTGGATAGGCCATTTACTTTCTCATTCTCACAATCCTTCCAACTTTCCAAGGTGCTTTCATGTCCATCGTCACCTTTTGTCCCTCCCCTCCCCCATCAGCTTCCTGTGCAGGTGTCAAGAATGAGATAGAATGTGCCAAGTCCCTGACCTATATTTACCCACAGTTAGTAACCAAGGTTGGCCTTGAGGCCAGGGCTGTT